GCCAAACCACGCCAGAGGCCAGAGAGCAAGAGGTCAGGTGAGATGGCATGAGGGGTCAGCCTCCAGGGCATGGGGCAAGAGGAGGGCAAGGAAGGGGAAGGGCGGCATAGAGACTGCAAGCATGCACACACACCCGGCCTACTGCGGCCCCTCACCCATCACGAAACATACTTTGGGGGGTCCCAGAGATAGTAAAAGCCATGGTGACCTGAAAACAGCCTACACTTTGAAAACACTGCCCACTGAGCTCAGATTCATCAGCAGAGAAGGGAAGCCCTCCTGGCTTGAGGTGGTTGAACCACTTCCATCAGATCATTGGCTGACCACTAACACATGCAGACAAAGGGAAGCCTTTGGAAGGCAGACTTGAAGGAAAAGCAAGAAGTAAAGAAGCAGAACTGACTAGGGAACCAGGACAGACACAGCACGGAGGGGCCAGAACACAGCCACATTCTGCAGCTTTCACTGTGACAACACGCAGACATAATAGGTTATCTAAAGTGTCCAGTTTTCAACAAGAGGCTGTAAGATGTGTGCAACAACATTAAGGTGTGTTATGATAAAATAAAGGAAATTTCCCTTTTATTATTTTACTTATTTATTCATGAGAGACACAGAGAGAGAGAGAGGCAGAGACTCAGGCAGGGGTAGAAGCAGGCTTCATGCAGGGAGCCCGACGTGGGACCCAATCCCGGGACTCCAGGATCATGCCCTTGGCTGAGGCAGGCACTAAACCACTGAGCCACCCAGGGACCCCCTAAAGATTTTATTTTTAAGTCATTTCTACACCCAACACGGAGCTCAAACTCACAACCCCGAAATGAAGAATCGCATGTTCCACTAACTGAGCCAGCCAGGCAACCCAGATAGGAAACTTTCAAGGAAATCTTCGACTTTAGGTTTGCAGGCCCTCCTCCCGGGCCCCCAGGGAAGCTATAACATCTATCGAGGTCAGAAGGACTTTGCCACCCCTCAAAGTAGGGACTCTGGTTCTGCCCTGAGCACACACTGAACATCTGCTTTGTTAGCAAGTTACCTTAAGCAAAGAATCTCAAACATAAAATAAGAGTAAAATCTCCCTAAGTTTCCAAAAGATGGAGCCATGCAGCCTCACATACTAAACACACAGGATAGTCTATGACTCTCCAGAATGTCTTTCACCATGATGATTTGTAACTTTATGTTAAAAAAAAAAAAAAATTCTAACCCTGCCCCAAATGTTCCTTCCCCAGAGGACTTTTCTTCATGAAGACTGTATATCCTGGGCAGCTGTCCTAACTGGGGCTTGAATAAAATTCTTTTCCTTTTTCCTCAAAAAAAATTTTTTAAAGGTTTATTCATTTTATGCCAACAGGTCCCTATTCAGGGAAAAAGCAGTAGATAGAGACTCTGTCCTCAGGTGCTCACTGTGCAAAGATTCAAAGCAGCTGTTGTTGTTTTTTTTTTTTTTTTAAGATTTTAGGGATCCCTGGGTGGCGCAGTGGTTTGGCGCCTGCCTTTGGCCCAGGGCGCGATCCTGGAGACCCGGGATCGAGTCCCACGTCGGGCCCCCGGTGCATGGAGCCTGCTTCTCCCTCTGCCTGTGTCTCTGCCTCTCTCTCTCTCTCTCTGTGACTATCATAAATAAATAAAAATTAAAAAAAAAAGATTTTATTTATTTATTCATGAGAGATAGAGAGAAGGCAGAGACACAGGCAGAGGGAGAAGCAGGCTCCATGCAGGGAGCCCGACGTGGGACTTAATCCTGGAATTCTGGGATCACGACCTGAGCCAAAGGCAGACACTCAACCACTGAGCCACCCAGGCATCCCTCAAAGCAGCTGTTGTGTATATGACTAAAGAAACAAAGGAAATCATGCTTAGGGAATTAAAAGTATGACAGCAATGAATCAATGACTCTCAAGTAGACGGAAATTATTTTTTTAAAGAAACAAAGATCCAAATGAAAACTCCAGAGTTTGAAAAGTGTAGCATCAGCAACAGATTTGCTTTGTGGTGGATTCCAGGTAGTAAGGAATCAGAGCACCTGAAGTTACATCAGTAGACGTTACCCAATATGAAAAACAGAAAGAAAAAAAATGTGGAAAAGAATGAAGGGAACCTCAGAGCCAGGGGGGACAACAATAAGAATATCAAGATATGTATTAAAGGAATCCCAGAAGGCAAGAAGAGGAGGGGTCAGAAAAAATATCTGAAGAAATAATGACCAAAAACTTCCCAAATCTGATGGAAAAAATATATATACAGGAATTCCTCAAAGGCACTGCACGTGTATCTTTCTCATTTCTTCTCTTAAGGCTTTGAAAGACACAAGTCATGTACAAACAATAATTCTATCCTGATCATACAAAGAACTCTTATAATTCAAAAAGACCAACGGCCCAATTTTTAAAAGGTGCAAAAGGTTTGAGCAGATATTTCACTAGGAGAGATCAATGAATGACAAATAAGCACATGAAAAGGTGCTCCACTTCACGAGCTGGGGGGAAATGCAGATTAAAGCCACAGTGGACAGCACAGTGCGGTGTCACACGAAGTACCTTGGGCTGGTGAGGACACGGAGTCTGGGGTCCCTGCACATTGCCTGCAGGACTGGGAAAGGGTATTGCAGATGCGTAACAGCTTGGCAGTTTCTTAGCAAGTTACACCTTCGTGTGGCCCAAGAATGTCCCCAAGAGAGAGGACACCGTATGTCCACAGACACACATGCATGCAATGCTCAGGCAGCACCACTCACCATGGCTAGACGTGCGGTCGGCTCCAATGTCCATGATGTGCTAAGTGGATACACAAAGTGTGGTTTACACTAAAAAAAATAAAAAGGAATAAACTAGGGATTCGTGGGACAGAATGGATGGACCCCACTAGCGGGATGTTGAAAAGCAGCTGGACTGAGTCTGTGTGCACAAAATGTCCAGAAAAGACAGAGTCAGTAAGAGGAAGCATTCTGCAAAGTTCCTAGTGCTGTGTGTGCATGTGCATGTGTGTAAAATATCCTAAAGCCGGAGGGTGCGTGGCTACACAAGCCTATAAGTTTACCAAAAATCATAGAAGTATACAGGCATCATAGATGAACTCATGGCACTCTGCTGCTCTGCCCCAGCCTACAGCACAAGCAGCCGTGGCCTGGGGCATCCTGGGTCCAGGTCCGGACCCTAAGTGCCAAAGGAAGCCCAGGGGACTCGGGTGGGCGCTGGAGCTGCCTGAGCTGGGGGTGCTTGGTCCCAGCAGACTGAACCACCCCCTCTTGCAGGGAGGTTCTGCCCAAGGTCTGAGCCCTGAGACAGCAAGCCCCAGCACATGGAGGCAGATGCCACAGAGGCCATCCCTGCCACCTCCCACATCTGTCTGCCCTTAGTTAGGCCTTGCAGCCCCGGGCACCCAGTGGGAAACAAGCAACATGCAGAGGCCTGGCCCGCTTGTGCGGGGAGAGGCGGTGTGGAACTCCTTGTCCGCTCTGGCCGGTGGTCCCTCGAGGTTCTCAGTACCCCACCCACCTCCTCTCTCAGAGGGGACCAAGGTCACACCCAGGGCAGACCTCTCCAGCACTCCAGGCAGCCTTTTCTGGAACTTACCCTGTGGGGAAGTCAAGGCCTGAGCCACCTTCTACAATTTCTGAGTGCACCTCCTCTCCTGCAGTGGCCCCAGCCCAAGGGCAGAAATGGAGGCATCAGGCTCTCCATGGCCCTGAGGTCAAGGTGGAGGGCGGCTGGAGCCTGGTAGCTCCAGATGTACCCATTGCCATCGCGGGCACCACCAGTGGGCTCTCCCGTGATCAGCCCTGAGCCCTGCATGTCTCCTCTGCATCGCGCACATGGGCCAAAGCTAACAGGGAGCAGTGGGATTAGCCAAGTGCAGGGTGGACTGCAGGCTGCTGTGGGAGGGGCCGAGGGATGCCAGGGATGCCCTCTGCACTGGCCCTGGCCCGCTGCCGGCCTGGGGCTGCCCTGCAGCCCTGCAGGTATGAATTCTATTCCAACTTGATCCTGTTTCAAGCTCATGGGAGGTGGTTACTTTAGATGCATTGAAATGTTGGCAGAGGTTCACGGAGAGAACAGCCAACCCACAGCTGGGCCTGGGCTGTGGGCGGTCCCTCACCCTCCCATCCCTGGGATGGGGCTCCGCTGTCCTTCCCACAGTGGGAGAGTGGGAGCAACTTTCCAGGCCACAGCCTTGAGGGGCATGTGGCGCTGAGGCCAGGTGGACGGTGTGGGACCCCACTAAGGCCTCCCCGTGAACCCCAAATGCTGATGGACAGGACCAAACCCTGCTCCTCGTCACCTGGGACGAGACTGGAGGGAGTTCCCCTGCCTGTTGCACCCACCGCCTGTCCATCTGGGGCCCCTCCCTCTCCTCAGAGTGGGCCAGTTTCAGACTCCCCCCAGAAGCCCCAGAGGGTTCAAATGAACAAAATCCATTACTTTACCTTCTAAACCACATATAAGAAGTACAAATGGAGGAGCTTACTGAATGTGTACATCAAGATGGCAATTAGAAAGGAGACACAGTGAGGAAGGGGCTTGGCAACCTGGCTCTACCACCTGCTCCCTCCAGGGCTGAGTTCACTTTCTTCTTTACAATTCTGGGTTTTGAACATCACTTTCTAGTACAGTTAGAATTTAAGGATTATGAATCTAGGAAATCCCACTTAAGAAAAATTCTGAAAGAGGATTAAGAAATACAGACAATGAACAGCTTGGGGCACTCCATCCCCCACCCCATTAACAAAGGAGAATCCGTCGAGTGGACATAAGCCTTTGAAGCCAGTGACTCTGAAATATAACCCAAGTCCCCTGAATTAGCATTTGTCATAAGCAGAGAACCCAGACAGGCTTCTCCACACGCACTGCTGACATCGAGGAACTGTAATAACAACACAAATCATCAAATAATCAAAATGTATCAAAAGCCCTAACATCATCAAATCACATTACATTATGATACATAATAATGGCCACAAGTAATTTTCTTAGTAGAACAATTTATTAATGGATATGCAATTAAGTATCTCCCCAAAAATCTTTCCAGAATTGACAAGACAGAAAGTAAATTTTTTTTCGGTTCTCTGGCAGTTTTTTTTTTTTAATGTAAACATAAAATATTTGAAGAAATGATAAACAGTAACACACAAACCTGTAGGTATATTTTTAAAAATCTCACCTCAAACAGGTGCTTGAGGCTTACACACACAGACGTACTGCTGATGACATAAATGTTTATTTAAAAAGAAATCCGTAACTTCATCCGCAAAAGCGCAGATCCATCCAGTAAGGCCTTCAGATGGAGGGTGAGTGGCCAGAACCACGCACTGGTATGAGGCAGAAGCAGGGCTGGAGGAAGACGCAGGCCAGTATCCACAGAGACGCCATCTGCACACGGACATGATTACACAGACAGGTGCACGGAAGCCGTACTAATTCAAGCATGATCGCTAAATATTTAAAGATCCCTCAAGGCACGTTTCCAACATATGCACATGTCAGTGAGCACACCCCATTCACAGGCCATTTAAAGGTTTTTAAAAACACACGTGATAGCCAGGACACTCCTCTCCTAACAGTGAGTACCCAGCGGTAATCAGCAAACAGACGAAATGCATCCGTTCACACCTGAGTCTAAGCTAGGCCGCTGGATGCAGCTGTTGGGGTGGAATGCATAATTGTATTACATAAGGCACAGTCTCCAAACTGCTCGATGTTCACAATTACTACATAAAATCAAAAATGTCTCCCTCAGTCAGAACTGGCATCAGAACAGAGGCGCAGACAGCAGTGAGTGAGTAACGTTTTGAGCATCCTTCACATTCATTTACAACTCTGACCAGCTGCTATCTTGTGCACTCGCTAGTAAGACTCCTACGTCTTACAAGTCAAAAAATAAAACACATATTATACTAAAAAACATTAATGGGCAATACAAATGTTTGTTTATCATAGACTCCTATCAACTTTGTGAATTCACTTTTGAGGTTCAGCAGAACAGTAAGCCCTTAAAGCGCAGCTAAGCAATCTGTACACAGTGTATGGTTAGAAGAGTTAACGTCTGGAAATAATTTCTATGAGTTTAGAAAGTCTGAGATCTCGGTCTTCTCACCACCTTTGAAGTAAACAGGAGCACGTAAACACAACTTCTAATGAATAAACACAAGGCCGTGGTCTTTCACAGTGAGTAACTGATTTATTATCTCGGGCAGTGGACGTGAGTACAGAGGAGTGGACAGGAGTACAACAATGAGGGCTTTCCTGGGGGTGTCAGGTGCACTGGAACCTCACAAATCAGCATCAACAGAAGGCACTTGAAAGACTTTTCAGGGGCTTTGCAGCCCATGTGAGCTATGCCAACGGCAAACTGTAAACAGCTGAGCAAAGGAGGTTCTGATAATATGAAGTTTCTTTCAAAAGGCAATAATATATAAAAATGGAGTAAATTAAGATGTTAATATATTAAACAATATAAACATTTAAAATTATAGATATCTTACAAAACAGCTCTGTGATAAAAATTTTTGTTGCAAACAAACACAAATTAAACACAGTACAAAAACGTCTCAATTAGCATGTTAGCCGGGAGGGGATAGGGAAGGAAAGCTCAGACCCGACATCTACGAGCTTCCTAACAAAATATTCCTTATTAAACTTCACATGCATTTTTAACACTGAAATATAAAAAAAATTGAAATTTTCAATAATTCCTTATTTTAAGGCCATTGAAATAAGTTTCACATTGTTACATTTTTGTTGTGTGCTGCTCAGAGTCCAGGGATGTTTGGGGTAACTCGTCACACCCATCCCACACAGACTTCCCCTGAATGATGTGTCCCTTGAGTCTCCCCTGGCCTTCTCTAACCAGAGACCAGCACCCAGCACCACACGTCACAGTGCCTGGAGCTCAGTCCTGGACTGGGAGGACATGGACTTGCTGCAGGTGTGGTGTGACTCCAGGGAGAGTGGCTCTTGGGATCTGGCTGCTATGACAGTGTTGTTGCTAGGACAATTCCAAGGATCACAAGCAAAATAATTACACAAATAGTAATGAACATCATTTTCTGAAAGATAAAGAAAAACATTAATTAATGTCCAAGGTATCCAAAGAAAGAAATCACTAATGTCATTTCTTAACAAGATCCTCCTGGAATTTGAGAGTTTAAAATACAAGTCCTCCAGGTCACAGACAAGGGAGAGGCGGACAGGAAATGTGCACGGGCCAGCTGAGATATGAACACGTGTCTGCTATGCTAAGGGGATGCAGTAAGTGAACATAGGTGGTGTCAAAACAGCCACTTGCTCCCGGGGCAAAGGCAACGCCTCCCTGGTGCCCTGTGGGCCCTTAATGAACACTCCTACTGATCATACTAGTTGCAGACTGCGATTCCTCGGGCGCACTGCACATCCTTTCAAGACTTTTTTTTACCTTTTTAAGATTTAAATTCGATTTGCCAACATATAGCATATCACCCAGCGCACATCCCATCAAGTGCCCTCCTCAGTGCCCATCACCCAGTCACCCCATCCCCCCGCCCACCTCCCCTTCCACCACCCCTTGTTCGTCTCCCAGAATTAGAAGTCTCTCACGTCCTGTGTCCCTCTCTGATTTTTCCTACCCAGTTCCCCTCCTTTTCCCTATAATCCCTTTCACTAGATGAAGGTCCCGTCTGCTGACAGCTTCCTTAGCCGTGTTTTGCCCAAGGCACACGTGCAGTCTGTAAGAAACCCAGGAGGTCCAGGAGGGTCTTCCACCACATCCCCGCCCCCCGGCAACAGCACTGCGCTAGGTTTCAGTTAACAAGCAACCCTGCCCAGAGGGAAGCTGAACCACCTGTGGCTCAAGGAACCTGCTCTCCTCCCAGGACTTGGGAGAAGTCACAACAATGAAGGGCACCCTGCAGCAGGACACTGAGGCAGGGCCATCTCCCTAACTGGCCGTCAGCCCGGGCAGGCCTCACCGCGGCTCCAAGGCAGCATGTGCACCAGGAGCTCTGGCAGTCACCAAGCTCTCAACAGTCCATGGGCCAGGCCCTCGGGAATCTTTCAGTCAGCGACTCGGGGGGCGAGGGAGCATGGCCCTGGGGACGTCCCCTCTCGTCTGAGCTGCGCACGTTGCTGGCATGAGGACCACAGCCCCGTGAACTCCACTCAGCACCTCGATCCGAGCCTGTGGTCCCATCTTCCTTCCCACCGGCAGCCACCCTACAGGTTCAGTGCCTGCTCATGCACTTGAGGTCCCCAGGGAAAACCAGCCACCCTGCCTGAGAGCTCGGACTTTCCCTGCCCACAGTACTTGCTCTGCGGGGGTCTGAGCACTGTGCACACGTCTCCTTCCTTTCCCACTGGCTTGAGGAGGTGCTCTCCCAAACTCCCACACCCCAGATGCCACAGACTGCACCACATTCTTGTCTGACACCCTAACAGCTCCAGCCAAACACATCCCTGCCCCCCACCCTTAGTGGGCAGAGCACAGCCCAGGGCACTAGCCCTGTTCTGGGGTAAAGTCATGGCTTGACCCCCTAGGAGACATAAACCATGGGCACAGCACACTCTCCACCTGTCTCCAGATAGGACATCGACCATCCTGGCCACGCTGCAGGCTGTGGGATTAGGATCACCTCCACAGTGTGCCCACACTCTGTGTCTGGCCTACTGGGAGGGTCTGCTGAACTATTTGCTGAAAGAATAAGTTAATCTTTCCAAAGTATTATAGGTATCAACCACTGCATTTCTATAAAAAAAAATTGTTGGTGTGCACTTTGGTGTGTTTTTATTAATGAGGGCTGTCCTACATTCATATTGAAAGACATGAGGGTACACCAGCCATGCAGGCCCAGGGCCCGCAGTAAGCCCACTGCTCCCCCAAGGATCACAGTGAAAAACCTGCTTTTACTCAATGGCCTTACCAAACACCATTACTGGGTCCAATCTAAAAATCATTTTTAATCTTTGCTGTAACCATATTCAACCAACCATACTATGAACACCAGGCAAAATTAAGAAAATACATATCCAAAACAATCATAAAAACATTTTTAAATGCAATTATGTTAGTGAAGGAAATTATATACACTATTTTTCCAGCAGAGCTAACAGGACAGCATCAGGAAAGTGACATCAATGTCCTAACAGAGTGCTAAGCCTCCTTCCCTTTTTTTTTTTTTTTTTAAGCCTCCTTCCTTCTAAAGAACAAACTTCAACCAACTCACCATCCCCAAGCCTATTTCTGAAACAAGTTCCAGTGTGATCTTGTGGCGCATGAGGGCAGCACATGGACCGCACTAGCTTCCTCCCACACGCAGCACGCGCCCAGGGCCTCCGGGGTGCACTCAGGGACAGAACTCTCACAGGCTGACAACAGTGGTGGAGCCGCACACAGGCCTCCTCTCTACTCTGCTGTCTGTCCTGGGGCTGCAGTGGCTCTCACGACAAAAGAATGAGCTCCTCCGGGGCAGCCGTCAGCACCCCAAAATGGGGGCACTGACACGCTGGGCCGAGGGGCGCAGCACACCAGCCAGCATTCTCACCGGAGCGCTCCCATGGGGAGGAGGCTCCCAAATGAACAAGAGACCCGAGGGGAAACATAAAATGTACTGAAGTTTGGGGAAAGGTGACATACGGTGGACAAAAACACTTTCATCAGTAATTATCTTTTCTCCTCAGAATCCCTGAACTACCAGGCACGCTAACTGAACAGTCTGCTTCTGTAAGGAAGTATGGGAAAATCACTGGCGTTGGCACAGGGGCACCAGCGAGAGGAAGGACTTTCAGGCCCTAGACTTTTCCAGAGAACTCTGCTTCCACTCCTTCCAACCCACAGTAACACCACCAGTGGGTAGATCGCACAAAGCAACTTTCAGGTATTGCAGCTATTCCAAAAGCTAAAAACTTAAAAGGTACATTCAACTGTTAAATGCCAGTTCAAGGAGAAAGTGCCTCTGTGCTGTAGTCGCTACATGGAGCGTGAGTGCACCTTGGGCAGGAGTGCAAGGGACCCAGAGGCTTTAACAGGCCACATGAGAGGGAGGCCTCTGTTTAGAGATGACCCTCTACCAGCCCGTTAACCTTCAGTACCCGTGGTAGCCGGACTGGCCTCTGCAGCCAGGGACACGCACTGCCAAGTGATACTCCTGGCCCCGCTCTGCTCTGCTGGCAGGCTGGTAGGACTTGTAAGTACATTAAAATTGAGCAAGCATTACTACTAGCTCATCAGCAAAGTTAATAAGTAGATTAGTTGTTAGGTACTTACTGCCTCGCTGGCAGGGGGGCATGCACATGGACGTGATCCACATCATCATTTGCCAACTGATAAACCAATAATTAGAGCAATTACAGCAACCAGAGCCACTGACACAGCTACAATTATCCACTTTTTCTGTCAAAGAAAAGCAAGCTGATTACATTATGGTAATTTCCTATCACACCACATTAGAAGACATCATTCACTGAAAGTAAAACAATCCACAGGAAGCGGTTTTAAAATCGAAGTTACAGGACATCTGATTCATCGTTTGACAGTCTTTAGTTCTTAAAAGGGTGATGTTTAATTTCACAGGTCAGACGGCTTGGAGATGAATGGCTCTAGAACCCTGAGGGTATCCATTTCCATCAATGAGATGGACGCAGCTCCATCTACAGGTCACAGTATCTGGGTAAGTTGCTGGGGCTGAGACCCACGACAGTCCTGGGACAGAGCTACAGGGCCAGTTCAGGACAACAGGAGACCAGCAATGTAGGGAATAAGCTCACCCTCTTCTGTTCCTCTTGTGTTCACTGCCAGCAGTTAAACCCCTCACTGCTCCCACCATACCCCAGAAAACACAGCACCCCCAGTGCAGGGGAGAAAGTAGGAGCCCAGGAGGGGGACAGCTGCCATCTGGGGAGCAGAGTGAGAAGTCTGAACAAGTGGTGTCAGCTGTTTCCCTGCAGAGATGGTGACAATTCTTGACCCAGGCCCACCTCTCTGAGCAGGTGACACTGTGTGGCACAGTGAGGCTTGCCCAGTGGATACGTCTGTACTTCCCAGTAGGGCTGTTATCTTTGTAAAACCCATCAACTGTGCATGAACATGTCCACTGGACTGATGTGCTGGTTATGTCACAGTGAAATGAAGCAATCTGCCCTTGGTGAGTGACTTTTACAGGAAGTCGGCTAAGAACTCACCTGTGGACCTCAGCACCTCACTTCATGGAGAAGTACTTTCAAAAAGTGTGACTAGAGAATGACATCAACAAGCAGTTCTCATGTTCCAAAGAACGAACACAGATATGCCCAAGAGAAAGCAGAGTGTGGTGCCCTACAGTTGGAGAGTGGAGCCCAGGCATGCCCCTGAGTGGAGGCCAGCACCCTGCCCAGTGCACTCTGCACCCTGACCCTTCCCTTCCTCCCAGCACTCTGGAACTGCCTCCTTACAAGACTGCCATGGGCAGTGCAAGGGAAACCACCCAACCAGAAAGGCCCTGTGAACCCTCACAGCCCTCTACCAGGGCAGGGAAGCAGTGGTGTGTGCTTTGTGTGGGCCTTCTCCACTCTGGGAAGAAGGAAACCAAGAATTACCAGACCAGGACCCCCATGGAACATAGAGAGCTTCCTTGTCCCTGAGTCAGAGCTTAATTCTGTCATTTCGCTGTTTTCTTAGAAGAGCTTTGCTCACACACCACACACTCAGGATTCGGGTAAACTCATTCACAAAGCTTGAACTCGGAGCCACATAGCACGTGTCCAGTCTCAGCAGCGCCCTTCACCCTCCAAACCAGAGAATTAGCAAGCAACCCAAGGAAAGAAGCCACGGTTCACTGAACAAAGTGTGTAACCAACAGCTTCTAAAATTCCCATCCTGTTAGCTCTCCATCCCCCTCCAGATAGTGGCGCAAGACACAGGGGCCTCTGGAGAAACATGAGGTCAGCCACTCAGAACATAAAGGTCACAGAACACATCTGCCTACATAATCTTCAAAAATTTTTAGCAAAATCATCACTTCAGTTTTAAAGTGAAATAAGAATATAAGAATTTATTTACTGGAAGACCTTTAAAGGAGGACTACGTGGGCATATTACACTTAAAGCCAAATGAAGAGAAGAATGCACTTTAATTCTCAAAAACCAAACTCACCCTTCTAGCTTTGCTGTGATATTTAATAGCTTTCTTTGTTTCTTCTTTAGCATGCTCTACGTAGTCTGTGGCGTTCATAACGTTTTTTTCTATGTTGTTGATCATTTCACCCTTAAAACAAAGTTTCAGACTCAGAGAATGTTTTTGAATGACCTGAGCACACATCTCAAGGCAGACAGAGCACTGATAAAGTCTTCACATGGATGTCATATGCAAGGAATGAGCACCAAATGTTGCTCACATTTACAAAAAAGATGAGAATGTTATAAACATGCCAACACAAAGTAATCAAAATTTATACTTTAAAAAGACTGAATGAGGATGAGAGGGTCGGGTGACGATGCAGATGATTAAAGGCGTATCAAGCCCATTCTGAGAGGCGCTCTCGCACGGGAGTGCCTTTTGAAGGTGAGCACAGCCTGACACCTTCGCAGCACGCACACACACACACACAATGTACAATGACGTCGTTTCCAGTGGGTGGAAAACTGTGGTGATTTCTTGAAATGTCAGTAAACTTAGACCACCATCTGCTTAATATTAAGTAGACTAGATGAAGGAAGAGTATGGGGGTGAGGCGAGTGCAGGGAGGTGGATGGGAGGGGAACCATACCTGCCTCCGTGTCCACAGCACACACAGTCTGCAGCAGTGACAGTACAACAGTGGGAAATGATGTACAATTACCTCATGTGTTCAAACCTCAAGCTTACTAGCAGTTCTGACTATGCACACAGTTTGAGTTAAAGAAGTAAAAATAACGCAATACCAACAAACTTCTAAAAGGAGACATGGTGAAACAAAACTGATACAGCCATTTTCCTACTGAAGCTTAAGGCCATACATGGGGTGTAGAACCATCAAGATCAAAGTCTCTGGTACTCTAAAATCTTTCACAATTACTAACACAACATACCGTCCTTACTGCCTAGTGGCTCTCTTCAGAATACTCCCTGAAAATACAAAGCTGGCAGAAACTTCTAGTGTGGGGAAGCAAGGGCTCCACCCCATGAACCCACCCCCTGCCCCAGGGGCTACTGGTTTTTCCCAGAAATCACACAGAACCTGAGATTTCCACATATTTTTATGATAAACCTCCTCAAAATCAACAGTGTTCTTCCAAAGGTCAGTGACATGGAGAATGAGTCCTATACAGGATGGACTTCCTGTCCTCCCTCACATAATCCAGAAAATAAACTGATCAGGTTCGAAACATCTCAGCAGACTGCTCCTCCCAGAGCAGATTCCAAAACCAGCCTTTGGGAGCACGAGGACACAATCTACCTAAGACACAGACACAGACACAGACACTCCCATGGCATGGGCGTCAACACAATCCTAACCCCTGAATCAGTGGATGGCCACATGCAGGCCTCACTCCATCTTGGAAACATCACCAAGAGCCTGATTCAGGTCCAGGAGTCAGAACGAACATATCCACACACCTAACAGGACACACCAATTTGTATCTTATGCTGGATTTTGGATTTTGTGAGGGACTGCCTATGCTCCTTCCATCCTCACATCCCTGGTTGATCATGAACTATAGCTCCCAGCTTTTCCTTTTAAACATTTCTGCCAATTATCATTCTAACACACACTCCTTTCAGACACTTAAAAATACATGTTCTTTAGAGAAGAAAATTAAAATCCCCAGCATCCCACTGTTATTATACTATTTGGTATATTTCTTTCCTTCTATGAATACTATTTTATGGAGCCGAGTTCATGCCACAGACATACGCATGCGTGCAAGCATGATCTAGGATAACACAGATGTGTGTATACATAGACACATAAGATTTTGTATCTCCCCCTTCACCTGTAATTCCAACACTATATTTCTATGTCTCTCTAAAAATCCCTCTGAACTAAAGTCTGCCACCTGTGGCTGCCTAGTAAGTTGTCCAGCAGACACACGGAATTTAAGTAAGGAAGCCAATCCCGTACTGTTGAGTATTTAAGCATTCCTGCCTCACAATATAACTGCAATCAACTTCTGAGTTTTGAGACTGGATCCAAAATCCTGGCTTTCTCGGCTATACTGGAATCCCATGTGAGAGTTCACGAGTCCATGCCACCGTACCAGAGACAGGGACATGTGTGCAGATACCTGGGTCTCCACGAACATAGCCATGTCCGTGAACATCTCATGCAGCTCCCGGATGCTGGTCTCTAGCTTCATGATGTCCTTGTGACGAGACTCAATTTCATTAAGAGCTTGTCTAGTAATTTGTGAATCTGATATAATCTTTGGAAAACAAACACAAAAGAGAAATACTGATGAACTCAGGGCCGCTTTGGAAATCAAATGCAGGTCAAGTGCATGCAGGCGTGCAGCCGCAGCCTCCCAGGTACTCACGTCTGCCGTGAAGACAGAAGGACTTCCACTCTCCAGCATCTCCTCCAGCTCATCATCTGTCGTGGTTCTTCCAGCTGCAAGATGAACAGAGCCTCCACTCAGAACATGCCAACACTTACAAATAACTTTTTCGACTGTTAAGTTAGCAACTAAAATCTGAATTGTCAACGTTTTCAAACAATGTTTTTCTGGCAGATTGATAGAGGCTAGCGCTCCACAGGAAAGGTGCAGAGAGTGAAAGACCGTAGGTAGTTCTGGGGCAACAAAGATGTTCTACAACTGTGTGATACACTAAAGCTGCTGACCTGTATCCTTTGCACATCATCGTCATGGCATATAACTATATTTCAGTAAAGTCGCTGAAATGCCATTTGATGGTTGTTCCCACTTGTGGTTGTTCCAGGCTCCCCAAGTCCCTAGGGAGGTGTGCACAGCCCCAGTGGCCACCTATCCCATCATGAGCTTGGGCCCCGGCTGAGGAGCCCTAGTCTTCGCTCACGGGGAGGTGGCCCACCTGACTGACCTTTAAAGGATCAGCAAACTGCCTCCTGCCCAGAGGGAGGCCCAAGCCCCCCTTCCCAGGCTGATGGCTTTGCATGCATCCTTTTATGGCAAGCTGGTACAAAGGGCAGTCTGTGCTGCCTCGCCCTACATGCAGTGCCCTGAGGCCCACAGAGACCATATCTGCCCCCCTGTTGTGGGCAACAGGGAAGTGTGTGATGATAGCTGAAAGTGTTCCAAATCTGCTTAGCACTCTAAGAATAATGCTAATTAGAAAGTAATTTAAAATCCAGGGACACCTGGGTGGTTCAGCAGTTGAGCATCTGCTTCCGGCTCAGGGCATGATCCTGGGATCCGGGATCGAGTCCCACATCGGGCTCCTTATGGGGAGCCTGCTTCTCCCTCTACCCATGTTTCTGCCTCTCTCTGTTCCTCTCATAAATAAATAAAATCCTTTTTAAAAAAAATCCATTTACCAAGGATTTTCTGAAGGATGTAAATAAAGAAAAAGTTTTGGTGATTCAATGAACTGGAAGCTGCAAGAAAGCTTAGGTTTTGCAATATTGGCAAAAAAAAAAAAAGATGGAATGTTACAGTACTTTGATGTCAGAACTTCAGAAAAAAATATGCTTTTAACAAAAGTAGCATTTTCCTTTACTCACTAATTTCTAGCTGACGCTGAATCCGTCCTTTGCTTCGGTCCCGGAACAGCGTCTGTGCCTCATTATATTCCGTCATCACTTCTACAAACTTCCGAGATAGTACAGAATGCTATTAAACATGGGAAAAATTAAATTAATACACAATAGTCATTTCTTCTGCTGAAAGTGACATGCAAAACATTATATCAGGTAAACTACAACTGTTACAGGAGCAGCAACCACACTGAGAGCTGCACAAGCACCACCGTGCTGGACTCTCCCAGCACCTGTTACCGGGTGGACATCGTGACTCAGAGCTTGCCACCACTCCCCGCTGACCAGATGGAGACTGGCACCTCGGCTGGCACCCCAGAGCCTGTACACTGCCCCCCCCCCTTGTCAAACAGAAGCAAGCAGCCTGGACCCCCTTGTCTGCACACCACACGTCACCTCACCCCACACCCTCTAGGGATTCTAATAATTCAGATAATACTGCTCTCCAGAGCAGAACTCTGTGGATGGACGAATACATTTTTTCTTCATAATAAGGAAGTCATCTGTAGAGATCTCCTCCTTTTCTGCAGAGATGTCATAAGGATCAGTGTGACATAAAGATGAATTTGAAAGGAAATAGAGGGCAGCCGGGGTGGCTCAGCGGTTTAGCGCCACCTTCAGCCCAGGACGTGACCCTGGAGTCCTGGGATTGAGTCCCACGTAGGGCTCCCTGCATGGAGCCTGCTTCTCCCTCTGCCTGTGTCTCTGCCTCTCTCTCTCAATCTCTGTCTCTCGTGAATAAATAAATAAAATCTTAAAAAAAAAAAAGGAAATAGAGAAAGACTTATTCTTCACATCACTTCGGTCTGGACGAAGCTGACAAGCAAACCTGGGTTCTCCGTATGCGAAGATCCACCGAAGTCCGGTTCCCACTCTCATCCTGGTCAAAACTTTGCTCAATACCTGAAAACAAACATGACAAGACTCACCTTTTAAACTGAAAAAATGGAAGTTTCTCAAGCCAAACCTCCAACTGCTTTTATCTTTTCCATTCCTCATAGACCTCAATAATAAGCATTAATTATTGCTACTATCACAAGATAAAACATGTCCTATCTTAACATTTAAAAGAAAAGTGAACAAAGAAACCACCTGACTGATGGAGATTAGAGAACTTAACTATCGATCTACAGGCAGTACAGAGGACTATGGGGGAAACCAACTTTCAAACCCTGAAGCATGGTAAATTCTAATGAACAATGTCCTGGCTTCTCCAACCAAAAGAAAAAAGTGGGGGAAAAGATGGAAGATGGAAGGAGAGTCTGAGTTTAAAAACTCTAAGTGACATACCACCAATCATAGGGTATAGTCTTTATATGGAACCCAATTCAAGCATACTGTAAAAAGAAATTCAAAGGACAACAGAGAAGTGTAAATTCTGATGGGATATTTCATAATAACCAAAATGATTCAACCTAGATACAGTCATGGCACTGTGGTTGTATTTCTGGGTGAAAATCCCTCTGTTTTGGAATACACTGATGAAGCTGCCATATGGATGGCTTTGAAGTGCGTGGGCAGGCAAGCACCCCAGAGTGCAGGGAGAAGGGTGCGACCACAGCTACAGGTGGTCATCTCCCTGCCCCCACCTGTCTGAAATGTGCCCTAACAAAAGTTCTTTCTGATCCACAGAGATTGTCTGGATTCAGTGATCTTTTGTCAAATCAGATACGACGTGTCTTCCTGGCATCCCTGCTTACACCCCGAACCTCTCAGAAGCCACCTCTCAGTGCTGAACCTCCAGCACTGGGAAGCTAAACTCCTGCAAATTTAAGGAACCATTTAAGAAGAATAGGAGATATGTATGAAAAGCTATTCACCTTCTCAAATATCTATGATTTAGCCAAAGAGCTAAAAATAGGTCTCTATAAGACAGCAACAATTTATATAAGCAAATGATTAACCTTGTTGAATACAAATTAATTAACACTTCTATCCTAAATTGTGGGATCAGCAACCAGGAGCCTTGGCACAGCCCTTAGAGCCACAGGTTGAAGAATTCTAGAACGATGCATCTCATAATGGCCACTACTCCAAGTTCATACAGATCATTTAAAGTGCTCAGAGTTCTGACTTGAAAAAATGTCCAAGAACAAGACATTACAAAGAAAATACAGACAACCCACATGCCACCATCACTGATGACATGCAGCCAAAGCCATGAACTCACACTTCAACTTGGCTCGGATTTTGTTAGCAGTTTTCTTGATTTCTCCGTTCAGATCTTCAAGCTCTTCTTTTATTTCTTAAAAAAAAAAAAAAGGCATCTGAGCTATAGTATCCAATGAACTTAAATGGAACAACATTCTCGGTAAATATTCAAGTGTTTAGTTGTCAAAGTGAGGCCCCCAAACCATGTGGGGACTGGCAGACACGCACATTCCTGGGCCCACCCAGACCTTCTTCGCATAGACCTCTGCGGCCAGCAATCCCACCTAATAAGCCCCCAGGGGACTGACTATATGTGCACCTGTACTTGAGAAGAGGTGGTATATAGCAATTAATTGATGAAAGAGTTCACTGAGTCCATCACTAACACATCTAGACCAAAGAGAGGAAGCAGAAATGTAATCATATTCTGGGAAAAAATTCTCTCATGTGTTTGATCTCTTTTGTGCTCATCTCTACCTAATCAGAGCAGGCCCCTCGCAGGTATGCTGGTCCCCACACCAGGAGACCTGAGGCTAAGCCCCTAGACCCAGGCACTGTGTCTGCACTGGGAGAGCCAGTACGAGAATCTATAGGAGAATGCACACAAAGCCAGGGAGCATGTGCAGGCATGTGATCCAGCTGAGGACAAGGCACACCAGACTCGGGGAATGGAAGGTGCAGAAACCTCCAAACTGAGAACTGAGCCTGGGGTGGATCAGAGCCCCGTCCCCACTGGTGTTCCCCAGAAACACATCCCTGCCCCCCTTCCTGCTCTGGACAAGAAAGCCCTTGGGCTGTTCAAGCACTCAGAGATCCTGGACTTCTTGCTCACGTGGGCAGGCAGGGGCTCAGGTGTCAGTGAGGGAAACGAAAGAGGCATGATCACATCTGACCCTTCAAACTACAGAAGCGACCATGAGGTTATCTTTGGCAAAGGAAGCATTTCAAACCACTGAGAAAAGGATGTGGTGTGATCAACATTCCTACTGAGATCAGGAAAGATGGACAAAATACGTTTTTAATCAGCTTAAAGGCATACAAAGCTAAAAAGGCAGGTACGAAGATACAGAAGAAAGATACCCTAAGAGGGAAGCTAGCCACAGGAGTGGCCTGAGGCTGCAGGCAAATGGAGAGGAGAGCCACACAGATGCAGACAGCCCTGCCCTAGAGGGGGAAGATGACGCAGCTCATCTAACCCTCGCACAGGGACCCAGAACTACTGCTGCAGAAATGTTTAAAAATCATCTATTAACAAAGAAAATCCTATCCACGGGCTCAAGTTATTGTCACAAGCTTTTATGCACAAAGCCCAGGGCCCAATCAAAAACAGCCAGGCAGGCAAAGAACCACAGATGAGGTATATAGACCCCCCCACCCAGGGGCACCGTTAATGGACTATCAGACACAGACAGCAAAATCACGTTCAAAGGGATGAAAGAGAACATCAGGAATTCTGTCAGAAAATCAGGAAGTAGGGATGCCTGGGTGGCTCAGTGGTTGAGTGTCTGCCTTCAGCTCAGGGCATGATCCCTAGGTCCTGGGATCGAGTCCCACATCAGGCTCCCTGCATGGAGCCTGCATCTCCCTCGGCCTATGTCTCTGCCTCTCTCTGTGTTTCTCATGAATAAATATATAAAATCTTTAAAAAAAAAAATCAGACCGTACAGAAAAGAACCAAGTAAGATTCTAAGACTGAAAAATATCTCACCCAGAAGTATCAGGTGAAAAGAGGACTGTGGATGAAGCAGAAAACAGATTTCCCAACAGAAGGACAAGAGAGTAGTGGGAAACAAAATGGACGGCTGGGGACCCTTGGGCATTGCGGAAAGGCTGGAACACACAGATCCCAGGTCTCCCGAAGAGAGAGAACGGGAACAGGGCAGGGACAGCTCTCGAAGAGAAAGTGGCCCAGGCGGCCAGGTGTGCAGCCCCAGGGATCCAGGACACCTTAAGAAAAGCAGCACAAACAAAGAAAATTGCATCCAGAAACAGCAATGCAAAATCGTTAAACCAAAGACCAAACATCAAGTCTCTTAAAAGCTATGATTCAACACCTGACCTAACAAAATAAAAATAAAAAAAAAAAAGGAACTGGAAAGATTAGTTCAAAATCTTCAAGAGGGTCAAAGAAAATAACTTCCCAACAGATTCCTACACTCCACAAAAACATCTTTTAAGAACAAGATTACAGACAGGAAATTTCAGAGAACTGTATATTCCCTACTAAAAGCAGTAAACAAAGGGTGTTTTTTAAAAAGAAATGATCTCAGACGGAAGTTGTGAAACTCACAGAAAAATAAGCAGCACTGGTATGGGTAGATCCAAACAGATGTTAACGGTGCAAAGCAGCCATAGTACAAATATTTATGTCACTTTCATCTATTATACATACAGCAATATGAGCACTAAAAAATGATGGGGTTAGTTTCCTAAGATCCTTGCGTTACCTGGAAATAGTAAAAATACAGATTTATATTTGACCTTAAGTCAAGAATGTGTAGTATAGCCCAGAGGACAACCATTAAAACAACAGTATTACATATCAACAAGCTAGTGGTGGAAGGGATGAAACTCTTCAAACCCAATCCAGAAGAAAGCATTAAAAGAAAGAAGTAACAGAGAACAAGCAAGAAAAATGGAAAGCACATAAGCTTACATATGTCCGCCCCAATATATCAATAATATCAATAAATACCACCTAAAAGCACTTCGAGACAAAAAATGATGAAACTGGAAAAAAGACAAAGCGCCACAATATTTTATTCATGAGAGACAAGACGCAAGGCTACAGAAAGGTTAACAGGAAATAGCAGGACACCTATCCCACCCCCACTGAGCAAGGTAAACCAGGGAGCTCTGTTCCCTCGGGCAAAGCGGCCATGAGGGCACAGAACATCCATCTGTGGGGACAGGAAAGATGCCCCCCATGACTAAAGGCCCAGCGCAGCACAAGACTTCACAGTTCTGAAGGTATTCACCCCCAGCTCTACATGCACGTGTGCATGGCCCGACTTGGAAGGAAGGAAACAGCCAGCTATGAAGGGCGCCACCGGGAGCAGGCTTGAGATGAGAACAGGCTGCACATCAGTGTTACCTTCTCCCAGTTAGATGAGCACAGTGTTGGCATAGAAGAGAGTATCCTTCCGTGGAGATAAACACCAAGTGGGCACTCTGAAAGACGTCAGCAAAAATAACGGGCACATGGAACACACGTATCAACACCACAGTGTGTACAGTGTGTGTCCAAACAGGCATGCACATGGGTACGTACACATACGTGCACAGAGCAGTTTGGCAGATGGGGACAGCCAGTGAGTCTAGGTGAAGGAAATTTGAATTTCCTTGTACCGTCACTGCAACTTCCCCATTGATTTGAAAATGTTCACACTAAAAGTCTGAAAAGAATGTTTAATGGTACCAGCCCTTGATCCCTCAGGTACAAGCCTAGAATTGGGCACCAGGGTGCGGCCAGGCGCCACCTGCTGGTTCCTGTGCTCAGGCTGGTGGGGCTGGCCACCCAGGTTTACCCATCTTGTATGACATCCAGGAGCCCAGCACCTGGAGTGCCGCCCCTCCCACCCGGCAGAGGGCTGAAAGGGGCATCAGCCTCCTGCCATCTGCATCACCTGGGCTCCCTATCCTGGGGGACCAGTTCTGCAGAGAGGAATTAAATAGGCACTTGGACACTGCCTCCCACATTTTGGTTCACGCAAAAGCAATAGTTTTATTTAAAGCCCAGAAGGGACTACTGTGAAGCATTAAGAGTTCTACATGTATTCAAATATTAGGGCTACCTGCTGTTTCTTGGCAGCAAAAGTTTTCTGGAGGTAAATTATTCAAAAAAATACACTAATATTTATTCAAATTTGATTTTTCCAAGAATTAAGATGTTGATAGGTGTTACATAAAAAGTTCTGTGCGCAAATAAGTGTGTAAAACACTGTACACTAAGTTAAATAGGTTTCTTTATTGCAGGATTGCTCAGAGTCTTTACTGCTGAGGACACTGTAACTTCTCAAGAGGGGAGAAAGCATAATGAAGCTCCCAGATGCACCTGGTGACACACCTCCTGTTTCACAGGCTAGCTGACAGCATTCATGCTCTAGAACACACTTTGGGAAATGTTCTTCTAAACTGTAAAATAAAGAGCTTAATGAGGGTCAAAGCATTGTTTTACAAGACATGAAAAATCTTAAAGTTAAAAACGTGTTCTTTTCCCATGTAATATCTTTATTTTTTCAATGTAAGGCAACCCCAAATAACCCTCTAACAAAACGTTGCTTTCAACTGTCCTCCAAAGTTGAGAATAAGTGTCCACACAACCACTTCCACCTAACCCCATACCGGAGGTCATGACATATGCCCACTAAAAATAGAAAGCATAGAGCTAAGGGAAAAGTGTCATTCACAAATGACCTGACTGGGTGCAGAAACAACCCAACAGAATCTACACAGGAGTTAGTAGCATTAATAAGTAATTAGGTGAGTTCATGGTGAGTTACATATAAACCCATCGTAATTCTATACAAAGAGAAAATAAGGTTTACAGCAGATACCATTCACATTAACGCAAGACCTCAACCACCTAGCAAAAACACAAGGTGGGATGTGTGAGGTCCCTACACCAAACCCCGTGAAGCGCTACCAGAGAGATTAAAGAAGACGTAAATTGTAGAGGGACAGAACATTTTCATGGATTAAAAGATGCAGTATTGTAAAGATACCAATTCTTCCCCAAAATGAGGTATGGATTCTAATTCACAATCTCTGGCTTATCTAGATCCATTTTACCTTTGAAATTTTCAAAATTCATCTCTCCAGATCAAGGAAACACTCCCTTATAATGGCCAATGCCCCTGTTCTTGGTTAATTTAAAATAATTTCTTACACGCTGTCCTTAACAGACATCCAGACAGCATACTCCATACAAAAGCCTTTCCCAAAGACTTACCATTGCCTGTAAACCTACCCTAACAAATGCTGTTTTCCAAGTCAATTTTTTAACTTTCACTTATTTTTTAAAGATTTATTTACTTTAGAAAAAGAGGGGGAGTGCAAGCGGGGGTATGGGCAAAGAGAGAGACAAGCAGACTCCCCACTAAGTGTGGAGCCCATGGCAGGGCTTGATCCCAGGACCCCAAGACCATGACCTGAGCCCAAATCAAGAGTTGGACGCCCAACTGACTGAGCCACCCATGCACTCCTCTAATTAACTTTCATTTAAACACAGAATTCTGTCATTCCTACTTAACTATCGACATAAAAAGTACCCATCTAGGCCCACTCACTGGTAAGGCCCCACAGTTCAGCAAAGCCACTTCTGTGTATTCCTCTGGATAGGACACAGCAGTGGTCCCAGTCTGGCAGAGCACTGAAGCACAGCAGCACAAAACCATCTGATTCTCTGGTTCATGCAGTCAAGGGCATCAGGACAGGCAGCCTGCTTGGTTCCAGGATTTTTACAAGCGCACTGCGTGACCTCATGCACAGTCAGGGTTGAGGCCTATTTCACAAACAAGAGAGAGAGGGGCACCATTTTTAAAGCCAATGACTTACTTCCTTCTGGATTTGGTGCAGAAAGAATGATGCTGTGGTTTTTCTTTACTTCTTCAACATACTGAGCTATTTTAGCTGTACTGTTCCTGATCTCCTCGACCTAAGACAGATACAAACAGCCATTACTATTATGGCAAACTCAAATTTGCTACCACTTTCCATTACCTAAAAATAAAGAAAGAAGTAAATGAATAAATACATGAAGAAATATCAGCTTTTCCATGCTCACATTGATAGTTAATTGAAAGATAAAGAAAAATGTACCGTGTTAAGATCCATATCCACATGACTAAGGCAATATCAATCAAGATTCACCAACAAAACCTACCAGGTTGTAAAAACCTTTACAGTCAAGACCCAAGTGTTATTACAAATGGTGTCAACAGGAAGCACACGGCCATGCATCCAGCACTCTGTGCAGTCAAGAAGGAAGAGGGTGTTTTAGCACTAATACTCCATGTGGGGAGGTGTGTACAGGTGATGGGGCCAAGCCTTTCAGTCATTGTTTTTACTTCTAATCATCTAAATGATTCAACACTGGGGATCCCTGGGTGGCACAGCGGTTTAGCGCCTGCCTTTGGCCCAGGGCGCGATCCTGGAGACCCGGGATCGAATCCCACGTCGGGCTCCCGGTGAATGGAGCCTGCTTCTCCCTCTGCCTGTGTCTCTGCCTCTCTCTCTCTTTCACTGTGTGCCTATCATAAATAAATAAAATAAAATTAATTAATAAATAAATGATTCAACACCTGTTTCAAAATGTAAGGTACTCATCGCGAGATTAATCCAGGTGGATCTATGCATCCAAAATCACGACACTGGAAAAATAGCTTAAATATTTGACTCATTTTAAAGTAGCAATTACAAAATCATTCCACCTTGTGACAGAAGTCCACATCCCAATCCCATGAGTGTTTCCTTACTGGGCAAAGGGGACTGTGCAGACGGGAAATTATCCTGGATTGTCTGAGTTGCCCCAAAGCAACTCAATGGTTATGCTTATGCTAGCTACTTGGTAAACTAAAAACTAATAACTTTTAATATATTTTATTAATATATTATACTTCTTAAAAAGATTTATTTGTTTGTTCATTTATTTATTTATGAGAGTGAGTCACAACCAAGGTGTGAGGGAGAAGCAGACTCCCCACTAAGCAGGAAGCCCAACGGAGACTCAATCCTAGGACCCTGGGATCATGACCTGAGCCAAAAGCAGATGCTTAATGGACTGGGCCATCCAGTGATCCAATATATTACATTTTTTTCAAATCTGCACATTGAAAGGTCCTTTCAGACTGTCCGTGGATTCAAGAGTCAATTGAAACTATTAGAGCAGCAGCCCCTGGGCCAATACCTCAAAGAAAGGGCAAGCTGACAGACGGCAAAGCAGTGTTGCCATAGTTATATACCTGCTTACGTATAAAACTTTTCAAGAGAGAAATTTAAGATTTGTTCGAGGATTTTAGAAAATATACAGTATGAGCTCTTTGACACATATGGTCACCATTTGGGGACTCACTGCCATTCTGGAATAAATGACCGAAGCATCACCGTGTGTACTCTGTGCACACCTGACTCAGCAGGCGTCAGCTGAAGGACACCCCTGCCACCAGCACAGCCACTTTCTAAAGGACCAGATAGCCTAGGGGAGAACACCACCAGTCCTCGGGTGAGAACTTGTGAGGCGCAAACCTACCACAGGGCATGGCAGAGTCTCCCAGAGGCAGCCTGGCCTTGGAGGAGCCATCTCATGGCACCAGCTCCACATTACTGAGAAGCACCTTGCCAAGCACCACCCAACCAGGAGCATAAAGCTCCTCCTTGGGGAGGACGGGGGTTCTGGGGCTCCGGGTCTGCAAACCACCACTCCCACCAGCCCCTCCCCAAGCCTATACCAGGAAGAATGGCTCAATACTACCAAATATTTTCAGGGCACGAAATATCCTAGAGAATTTACATAGTCAAAAGCAAGTTTTTAAAAATATTACTTTTAGTATTATTTCAAATGTGACCACCATACAGTTACATTAACTGTGTTTAAAGAAGAAACTCTGACAGGGCTTCAGAGAATGGCTCTTACCTGATGGAAGAAATCATCCATGAAATGGTCCTTCTCAACAATAACACTTGTGTCCCCATCATCACTCTTTCTACACTAAAATAGAAAATACAAAAAGGAAAATTCAGGTTGCAAAAATGTTCATGTATGCACAAACATCGAACTGAAAGAGAAAAGCAACCCAAGAGAGCGCAGAACTATAACAAGATGGTGCTGTCTACAAGGACTTGGGTCTGCCCACTGTGGACCAGGATGTGGGCGGGGGGGGGGGCGGAGGCAGGGTGGAGGCAATGGACAGCCCTAGGGGGGCAGCTTGGCCACGTCCTGGGAAACAACGGAGGAACTCCCCAGCGCTCTGTAACAGGGAGCTGTTCATCTGCGCCCCATCAAAGTCAACATGAAGTGAGCCCCTGGTACCGCATATTTGTTACAAAGATTAAAAACACTGACACCGCTAACTTTTCTAAAGCACATAATTTTCAAGAAACTTACACATGTTAACTGGCATTCCTCGTTTTTCCCTAAGTGAGTAATCCCCAGGGGCTCCCGCAAATAATCCATAAGCACTTTAATAAGGAAACACTTAACAAAGACCTTAGTAAATAAAATGCAGAAGGAAAAGAACTGTTCCAACCACTGGAAGAGCCATAGTGATGCTACACAGCAGTCAGGTTCTGTATTCTTCCACCAAAGAATATTCCAGGGCAGCTCTCTAACTTGAGTTGCAGGAGAATCACCCCCAGGAAGGCTGGGTCTCTCACTCAGCAGGTCAGGGTGGGGCATTCTAGAACACTCTAGAATGTTGCTGCACTCTAACATGTTCCAGTGCTGCTGCTGGTCCAGGGACCCTGCGTAAAGAACCACTTTCCAGGGAGGTAAACTATCTACCCGTGGAAGCCTGCACTGGGGAGACGGCAATGGCTGTACACAGCATCCTTGCAGAGCACCGCCAGCCCAGGGCACGGCTCCCCGAGGTCACAGAGTGACCGTATGCAGCATCCCCTAGTGGAGCTGGCAGGACTAAGAAAAAAAGGAAAGAAAACCTGCCAGAAAGACAATGGAGGGAATGGCTTTGAACCACCTCCCTGAGCACACATCAGATGACTGACTCCACTCTCTGCCAACTCTGGGAAAGCCAAGGCAGCCATGGGTTTCAGAAAATTCTCAGAACCCTTAGGAAAACTGAAGTCTTTACCTATTCAACCAAGTCTGGAGTGTGGCTCTACTGATCTACAGCCTAGGAGTAACTCGGAGACAAAATTCTACTAAAATTTGGCTAAGAAAAATCTGCAAATTTAGCAAATGTTCAAGAAAGCACAGGAAGCCTTCCGTCTGCATCAATCCAGGACCCTCGCTGAAGCAAGGAGATTTGGCCTGAAAGTCAACAACAATCTTTCATCGCTTCGGGAGGTCTCCGGATGTCACCTCTCTCAGCCTGGGGCCACTTCTGGGTGAAGATAAGCCACGTCTGCTGAGGCCAAGGGAAAAGAGAGGTTTCTCTGAGAGAGAAGGGCTGACTTAGAGGAGCAGCTTGTAGGAAGAGACTGTGAGGAAGCTGTAATCACAGGGTGAGCGTGTGGATGAGCAGGACAGTGTGCAAAGGGAAGGAGAAGCACCACACAGCATTAGCCTGCACACTCGCTGGACTGGGGAGGGACCTGCTGGCACCTCTCAGACAGGCGTGGTCACACACTCCCTTAACCCTATTTATTCCCTCTGCCCTGGCTCCCCGGAATGGGGGCTCCCCAGAGCGTCCATTCTTTGTGGCTTTCCCAGTAGCATCTTGAGTTAGACTGAGCCACCACCCTGCTCTCACATGACACCAGTTGTTGAGAAAGATGCCTGCAATGACTGCTACTGAGAATGTCTTGTTTGTGCTATTTGAACAGGACAAGTTAACCCCAGAACCTCAGCACATGAACCACAGTGGAACACAGCTGTGCAGGTGGCATAGATACATGAGGTCATGCCAAGCAAGGTGGGCCCTTCGTGCAGCCACACAGGGAAAGATGGGCATGTGACGAGTCGCACCCAAGGACCACCAGCCCCAGCAGAAGCTGCAAGGGCAAGGAAGGAGCCCCCCCATAGGCACCGAGGGAGCACGGCCCTGCTATGCCTCCATCGCAGGCTTCTGGCCTCCAGAGCCAGAACCATTCCTGCCATGTCTCAGCCCGTTTGTGGTACTTTGTTCCAACAGCCTGAGGATGACAACCCAGCAAGTCAGGGCTGCCGAGCACCGGCCTCCCTCTAATAAGCCAAACTCACCAATCAAGACAGTTTTCCCAGCCTGCTTACTGGCGGCGGCTGAACCTCCAAGTCTCTGTCTCCTGGTCTGTGAATCACGGGCTCCACTGGCCCCAGCTCCTACAGAGACAGGTCCTAAGTGCAAGCATCCACCCATGTGACCAAAGGGGCCTCAGTGTGACAGGGGCACATAAAGTGGCAAAGGCTTTCACATCATTCTAGTATCAGCTGTGAGCAATGCTGAACTTAAAGACAAACTGGCAGTCGGAAAGCATTCCACAGAAAGCACCGTCACGGTGAGCCACCCCCTGTTCCCTCTCCCCCAGGCCCACGCATCTTGAGGAAACAGAGCGCTCGCTGCTAATGGCCGTGGAGAGCCCGCGCACCGGGCACAGGGCTCCGGCTGCCTCCCACGGCCGGTGTCAGCATCCCCAGTCATGCTCCGGAACACAAAACACACGGGGAAGGAAAAGTGCTCACGTCCGCAGAGCTCAGACGCCTGGGCAGGCATGGGCATCCAGCGGCTGACTCTCGCCGCGGGCGCTGCTCTTCCTCTCCAGCTCAAGCACCCAGCAATGGTCCCGTTTACTGTCCCCATGCTGCCCGGAAGGAAGAGGTGGAGGTGCCGACGGCAACGGACTGCCCGTGCCAACTGGACTCCAAATGCCCTGGCTCTGAAACATTCACCACCCATGCCCTGCACGCCGCAGAGCCCAGCTGCCAGGCCGGCCTCCCAGCCCCGGCGGCAGCCTCGCCCCCGGCCTCTGAGAAGGCACACTCCGTGCTCACTCTTCTTAACTCGGCCCTGTGTGACTCTACTTCCCAGTGGCTGCTCATCTTCCTGCCTCTGCTCTGGGGCCTCAGGGAAACGGCTGTCGTGTCCAGCTCCAGGCCAGGGACAGCGTGGAGCAGCGTCAGCGAGGAGCCGGCTTACTGTGAAGGCGCGTGAGCTCGGGGGGAGTCGGTGCGGGTGGGTCTGCCGCGGCCCGGAGCACCGGGAAATGAGAAGGGCGTCTGCCACCAGACCCCCACAGAGCTGCCCAGGTCCCACCGCTCCGAACGGAATTCTAGACTCACACACACTGGCTTTCGTTTTGCTTTTTCGTATTGAAGACTGCAAACCCACACAAAGTCGGAGGAATACTACAGTGAGCCCCGGATGCACCCATCCCCTGGTCCAACCACCATCTCCCCGCAGCCGGCCTCACTCCACTTGCTGGCCCTACGCCCACCCCCAGGGCACTAGGTCACCCCAGGCAGATCCCACACAGAAGATGCCCGCTGGGGGTTCCCGCTCAGCAGAAGACTCCAGCTGCCAGTCCAGGAGACACAGCTGCCGACCTTGGTGCTTGGGGAGATGGTCCAGACCCCATTCCCCCAGGCGAGTGCATGTTACCGCCACGCTGTCACACAGCGCGCTGACCGCACTCTGTGCATGGGGCCACCAGCAAACCTGACCCAAGAAGCCCGTGTGGCCTCCGCCCTCGGACACAGCCTCCGTCGGACCCGGGCCCTGCCTTGATCCCCAGCCAGCCCTGTGGGTGACAGACCGCCCTCTCTGCCCACAGCCACGAAAGAGTTAGAGGACTAGGAACGCATTTCCTCCACTTTCTCTATCCCTATCTTACCACCTTTACTTCGACTTCTTATTTCTAACGGGAATTCTCAACGCTATTCTGGAACCGGAGACGGGCTTCATATGGCTCTTAGCTTCTCCATTCCTCAAAACGGGAAACAGAGACAGAGCAGCCAGGGCACTGCTGCCTCACCGAAGGCACCTTACAGCCCCGTGAACAGAGCGCCCTCGTCCAGTCCCTCTGGCGGGGATAGTGGGGCATGGGCTTCACTGTGAATAACAAGACGATTCATGCCAAAGCATTTCCTAAAGGCAGTGGGAATACTCCAAGATGACACACTGGATTTCCAGAGTGTCAAAGTGCAAGATAAACATCCAAATATCAACATTCCATTTGTTAGATTTTAAAAGAGGTCTCCTTAAAAGTAGCATTATATAAAAAATAAAATCCTCCCAGGGTGACTATTGTCAGGAGCAGAGAGTGAATAGCTTCCGTGTTTAGAGACTATTTAACAGACGTGAATAAGTCCTCACTGGAATGCTCGGTGTTTAGATTTCAACAGAAGCTGAATTATCACAAATTAGTAGAATCCAAGCTTGAAAACACACTGACTTCTTTCTCCACGTGCACCTACAGGAGGGCCTTGCACAGATAGTAATTTTGGGCATATCAACTAAATCTTCTCAAAATATATTCAGCACCTATACCTCTGCTGCTTATGACTTATATGTATTATCACCTGAAGAAGAGAAAAGTGTGCCTGTAAGTGAATATAGGTGAAAGCTGTCTACTAGCCTTTGTATGTAACATGCCTTCCTCAGGTTTTTATATCACTATATAGAGTAGAATGGTAGGATGTCACATCGTTTCATGTTTTTATGTTTTTACTCTAGTTTGTCTCCACTATTAAACATCATACAAATACCTTCTACAGGTCCTGAGCCTTTACATAAACAGAACTGTACTGCACAGATGCTTCTGCAATTTGACCCTGTCTTTCCCCACGACTTGTTTAAAGATTTCTCCTTCCCTCTCACCTTCACTCACGGACAAACTAGTCCTCTCTCCTCCCGCAATGCCAGCTTATCCCCCAGCTTGCAGCCTCGGGGCTCGTCCCCCTCCTCATTCAGGCCTCAGCTCAGAGACTCTCCCCCATTGCCCCATCCCAAGCAACCCACCCACAGCCCCACATCCTGCTTTCCTTGGCTGATTCCTGCCCCACTCTCCACAAATTCCACAAGAGCAAGGACAATACCTATCTTCTCACAGCTCGTG